AATACATTGATAAAATAAAATAGAGACCAGAAATAAACCCTTACATATATGGTCAAATGATCTTTGACAAGAATGCCAAAACCACTCAATTGGGAAAGGACAGTCTCATCAATAGTGGTGCTGGGAAAACTGGATATCCACATGCAAAAGAATAAAGGTGCATCCTTTTCTTTTATAACATATATAATCAAAATGGATTAAAGACCTGTCCAGCCAGTGTAGCTCAGTGGTTGAGCATTGGCCACGAACCAGGATCTTCAACATTTCTGTAGATATACTTTTTATATGTTTGTGTGTATGTGTGTGTATTTATTATTGATTTCAGAGAGGAAGAGAGAGATAGAAACATCAATGATGAAGAGAATCATCGATCAGTTGCCTCCTGCATGCCCCCCACTGGGGATCGAGCCAGCAACCTGGGCATGTGCCCTTGACCAGAATCAAACCCGGGACCCTTCAGCCCACAGGACAACGCTCTATCCACTGAGCCAAACCAGCTAGGGCTGTAGATATATTTTTAACGGCTCCTTTCCCCTACTCTTTCTGAAACTGAAAAGCTGCATATAGTGCACTTTTCCCTCTTTTACTTCCTCTCATTAAATGTCAAAATTAATCATGTTATGATTATCATCAGGTAGTGGTTCAGCCACAGCCACTTCCTGTCCCAGTTCCTGTTCACTATTCAAAGTAAGGTCCAATATATTTTCCTTCCTAGTACTCTAAAACTACCTGTTCTAGGAAGCAGTTGGTTTTTCTTATCTGAAAACTAACCTATATATTTTGTGTCATTTTTAGCAATTTGTATGAGACTAACAAATTGGACTAAAAAGGCAGCTTTCCTAAATGTTATTTAACATTTTCAACTTAAGTCATGATTCTTGTCATCAAGTGAATCACATTTATAAATTGAATGTATTTATAGTTCTGTGCTATTCTGCAGCATGGGACTTTTTCTTGTATTTCCAAGGACAGTCCCAATTTAAAACATTCTGTCCTACTGTCATATCTCAAGTTTGGATTTGGAAAAGACAGTCAACATATATGCAAAGGGTACTTTGCAACATTGATTCTATGTGGCTACAGCCTAGGTAAAGAGGTTAAAGGAAGACAACAATCATTTTAAGATTCTTCTTCTATTTAAAATAATCCCAAAAAAACATTCCACAAATTAAGTGCAAATGCCTCCAGTAGTATTAGTCTTCTTTAACAACTTAGAATGAAATATCACAATAAGATAATTAAAAAGTTGTTTAGATGGACAGGTTTGAAAACGAAGTTTTCCTTGCCCAGATAGCTCAGCTGGTTGGAACATCGTCCTCATACACCAAGGTTGTGGGTTTGATCCCCAGTTAGGGCACATGTAAGAATCAACCAATGAATGCAGATTGATCTCCCTCTTTCTCTCAAATCAATAAATTAAGAAAAACAAGGAAATGGACGTTGTAATTGACACTGGGGAAAATAAATATTATAGATAAATCTTAAATAAAAATATAACACTGCATAAGCTGTTGAGGTTTTCCTATAATTTTAGTATCAATTACAACTAGCAAAATTGGGGGTAGTAATCCCTTTTCCCAGGCACAGTTATATACAATTATGATTTAAATTAGGCCTTCACAAATAGTTTTGTGTTGTTTTTTTTTAATTCCTCACTTGAATATGTGATTTTATTGATTTAAGAAAGGGAGAATGCCAAAATCACTCAATTGGAAAAGAACAGTCTCATCAACTAGTGGTGCTGGTAAAACGGAATATCCAACTGACCAGGTGACTCAGTTGGCTGGAAAGCACCAAAAGGTTGTGGGTTCAATTTCTGATCAGGGCACATACCTAGGTTATAGGTTTGATATTCAGTAGGGACATGTATGGGAGGTAACTGATTGATGTTTCTCTCTCCCTTCCCCTCTCTCTGAAGAAATTCAATGAAAAAGCATATCCTTGGGTGCAAATGAAGAAAATAAAAATTGGCCCTGGCCAGTGTGGCTCGGTTGGGCGATATCCACGCACGGAAAGACTGCTGGTTTGATTTTCAGTGAGGGCACGTGCCCGGGTTTCAGACTGGATCCCTGGAAGGGGGTGTGCGGGAGGTAGCCAATGGATGTTTCAATTTCATACTGATGTTTCACTCTCCCTAAAAATCCATTTAAAAATCTTTTAAAAAAATTTTTGAGAGGAAAAAAAAAAAATGGACAAGAGAAACATCTATTGGTTGCCTCCCATACACGGCCCGCTCCTAGGATCAAACCCACAACTTTTTGGTGCGCTGGACCAACTGAGCCACCCGGCCAGCGCCACACAGAGTTTTCATACAAAGCCACAACTGCTTGCCATTCCTCCAACTATCCATATTCCTGTTCAGTTCTGTGTAAAATGCCCTCCTTCTCTGCCAGTGGAATCTACCACCCTTTAAAGCTCCAGTGATAGCTCCCGCTAACCCTCAATCCCTCTTCTACTCTGTCTCTTAAAACTATTTGTTCATTCTTCTTTATTCATGGCTTACTAATGTGCCACTACTTTACATATTTTGTTTAATGCTCCAAACTCCCCTTTGAGGTATTATCATCTCCACTGAACAGATAAGGAAACTGAAGCTAAAAAAAGGTTTGGTGTCTTGTTTAGGGTCACAAAGCCAGATAGGAATTCAAATGCTGATCTGTTTCAACTTTAACTGCATTATCTTTCCACGAAACCAGGCTTCACAGCAATTTCTTACAGAATGTATCATCATCATTTGTTCAAATACCTATCTCTCCCACTAAACAAAATTCCTCAAAGACAGGTGACTATCCTTATATCCCCAACAACACCCAACAGCGCCTATTATACAATACAATGACCTTAAAGTATTAATGAATATCTACAATACTCTTATTCAGGTTATGGTGTGCAGCATTGTTTGCCACTAGTCTTCTACCGAGTCTCTAAGAAGCCACGTTTACTGTGGTGGTAAAGCATCACGTAAGCTTCGTAAGCACATTGCTTAGATGTGACTCACACCTCCATCAACTTATTAGCTAAGAAACCTTGAACAAGGAAGTTCATCTATGTTTTGGACAATTCATTTATAAACAGGGAGTAATGCAGAATTTACAACATAGGATTATAGGATTAAGTGAGATAACATATAAGCAATCCAACTACTTTTTGATCCCCATTTTTTTGGCATGCCACCCTGAATTTTATTAGCCTCAGTCTAGTAAATTTTTTTTAATCACAACTTCTTTGCAATTTTACATGAAATGGATTAGCCAAAAAGGTTCATGATTTTTTGCCAAAACCGGTTTGGCTCAGTGGATAGAGCGTACGCCTATGGACTCAAAGGTCAAGGGCAAGTACCTTGGTTGCAGGCACATCCCCAGTAGGGGGTGTGCAAGAGGCAGCTGATAGATGTTTCTCATTGATGTTTCTAACTCTCTATCCCTCTATCTTCCTCTTTGTAAAAAATCAATAAAATATATATTTAAAAAAAAAAAAGGTTCATGGTTTCAAAATTGCTTAGGACCGTGGTCGACAAACTGTGGCTCTTTGGCCCCTTGAGTGTGGCTCTTCCACAAAATACCATGGCCTGGGCGAGTCTATTTTGACGGAAGTGGCATTAGAAGAAGTTTAAATTTAAAAAATGTGGCTCCCAAAAGAAGTTTCAATCGTTGTACTGTTGATATTTGGCTCTGTTGACTAATGAGTTTGCCCACCACTGGCTTAGGCCATCTATTGATTCTTAGGACTCTCAAGTTTGCTTTTGGAGGCTTGACTATGCAGGAGTGCTGCCCTTGTACTCTATAGTTCATTTGCTTACCACATGTTTATGCCCTAGCAGAGAGTGGTGAAAATGAGAACAGAGACTTCCTACCTTACTGACACCTCCCTGTACTATGCTGACAGCCAGCCTGTTTGAGAGGCAGGCTATTTCCCCCGCGAGACATTTTCCTGTAACCAGCTTGGGTCTGGTCTCAGGCATGGCTCATTCTCCCCAAAACTACATTCCTTCGAGACATTGAGCCACTTCAACTAACAGTGGATACCCATTTCCTTCTCCTAGCAACCCTTACTCCAAAAAGTTAGTGTTTCAAATGGTTATGCTATTTTAAGGCTCCCTAGGCTAAAGTACATAGTTTCCAAATTCTCAGAATTCCCCCTTCCAACTTAAAAAAAAAAAAAAAAATGTTATGAGCAAGTCCAGTTTGGGAGAAAACAAGAGCAAATACTAAGGCTACAGTTAAAGTATGGGGTGTGTGTGTGTGTGTGTGTGTTAAATCACAAGATGTCTAGTGGGCTAAAGCTAAGCAAAAACTATAAAATCCAAGTATCACAAGTACCCCCCCCCCTAATTTTTTTTCAAAGTAAGCAAAATATACCATTAACAAAAGGATCAAGTGTACATTACCAAACATTTAATGCATTCACAACGGATTTAAAAAATTACGACTTGCTACGCAGACACTTACATTAATAAATTGTTCCACATTCTGTACTTCCCTACTTAGTATATGCTGATATAAAGCAGTTCCTTTTTTTTTTTTTTTTTTCTTTTCTTGCCAGGCTAAAAATAAAATGGGTGATAGGCCAGTGGCAGAATGAACCCCGACATGATACAGGAGGTTCTGCGTTGGGAAAAGCCAGGGCTTGAACAGACAACAGCAGAAACACGGGCTGTCAGCAGGCAGCAGGCAGATAAGGAGAAGAAGAAGAAGAAAAGGACGAAGACGACGCGGATGGACCGCCGAACCGTTTCCCGGCAGGAAACATCCCTCAAGGCCAGCGCGAAGGACGGGCGCTCCACTGGGCAGAGCGCGCTGCAGCCAGCACACCATCCACGCCGCTGCCTGCTCCGCGGGCGCGGGCGGCGACCCTCCCTCCCTGCAGCCGCTCCCCCCGATCCCGCTCCTCCGATCCCCGTGCTCGGCCCCCCGGCGACCTGCACGCCCTCCCGCACCCGCCGCAGCCCCGGCCCCGCGCGAGGGGAAGGAACCAAAGGAGGGAGAAAGGCCGCGGGAGGGAGCGAGGGAAGGAGGAAGGGCAGGCGGCGCTGGGCTTCGGCCCCATCCAGGGGGATCCAAGCCGGCGATGGCTCGGGAGGAGGGCGGCGGAGCCTCGAACACCCGCCTAAAGGGTGGCACGAGGCCGCGGCGGAGCCCGGCGCGCAGGTGCCCGCGGCCGCTGGGGAAGTCGCCGGCGGCAGCGGGCGATGCGTTGGCCCGGGAGCCCCCCACCTCCATCCCGCCCGCGGCTCGCCTCGCCTCGCCTCGCCGGTGCCGCTCCATCCTCGGGATTCGGTCAGAACCTAACGACCTACACACGCGGCGCCTGCCCAAGCGCGAAGGGGATGCCCGATCTCACCTTAGGAGCGGGCGCCACGCCGCTAGGAGGCAGCTGGGGGTGCAGGGAGACGCCGAGGCGAGCACCGCCGCCGCCGCCGGAGACCAAGGACTAGCAAGGAGTCTGCCTGCGGGCGCGCTGCCTCCACGGCCTTCGCCCCACCCCCTTTCCCCGCAGGATTTTGCGCCGGAGCTTGCAGTCTCCGCGCGCGCTGGCCGGGAGGGCGACGGGAGGGGCGGAGCGCTCCCGCGGGGGCGTATCCGAGCGCTGGTTCGTTTGATTGCCACATACCTGTCCAATAGGGGCTACGAACACGCCAATCTGCACTTTGACGGACTTTCCTTCTATCCAGTAGTAATGGGGAGGCGGGGCAAGTGGGTGTGTCTTTTCGTTGCCGCCCTTCTGGCAAACCGGAACGTAAGGAAAGATCGGTTGATTTGCACTGGCGGCCAAACGGTCCAATGAGCGCAGGCAGAGGGGCCTCTGGACGCAGATTGGCGTCCTCTCTAACCTATAGGGAGCCCCCAGGGGCGATGAGAGCCGGCCCCGGATGTGGGCGCGGCCCCGAGCTAGAAGTGAGAAAACCTCTACCGCGGTCGTTTGGAGAGCGGAACTGGGATCTCTTTCTTGGTTATCATGTGACGGGTCCTGGATTTAATGGGGGGAAAAGTGTGGAATAGGCCAAGGATCCACACTGGCGAATCCCCCGATCTTCCCGTCCCTCTTCGGTCTCCGGCCGGCGGCGCAGCCAGGTGAGTCTGCGGCTCCGACGCGCTGACGTCCTGCCCGGGCCTCCAGGTGCCAGCGCGGGCTGTGCCTGCGTCCCACGCCCCCACCGTCTCCCCTTCACACCCCCAGCCCCAAACACACAGGAATGTGCTTGGCACCAGGCTTCTGTGTGCATGGTGGATCCCGTCCTGCAAGAACCGCGATCAACTCCATAATGCACTACTTGGGCCCCAGCAAAACGGAGGGCGGCGGGTAGAGTCTGGATGGGACCCTCGCCCTTGGAAGACGGAGGACAAGGGTCGCTTAGGAACGTCCTGCAGTTTTAGGCACAAGGAGGCGCGAAAAGCAGATACGTTGGTAAGCAGACCGTTGTTCCTTGGAAGGATGGTTACGTTTGGCCAAGACTGTAGCAGCCAGGCCTTTCGGAAGCCGAAAGCGGCTCATTAGTTAGAATTCTGAGTTCTGTGTTGTGGGCTCGTTAAGCAAGACTGCCTTTGGCATAAGGCAAGCCCACTTGGAAGAGGAAAGGCAGGAACGAGAGAAGGAAAATGGGGGTGGTGTGGGAAGCACCGTGGACAACAAATGAGACCACACACAACGGACACGGAGACACGAGCTGTGGGCAGGGCGCTTTATTTTTCCATTGTGGGCGAGGTGGGGGGCGGGGAGGGCAACACAAAGTTTTAATAGATAAGGAAGCATAGGAACTAATAATACTTAACTCTCTTCAAGGTGCCAGAAATACCTACCTCAAATGGTAAATATTTAAGTTGAGCAAATTTTTGTTTTGGAATATTCAGACCCCTCCCTTTGAGGAGAAAGAAGAGTAATAGGATACAAATACGACTGCCTGGATTAATAATTTATTAATAAGTTAATAAAATTGGGGTCGTATTAATCATTGTAGCTCAGCGAACACAATCCTTCAATCGTCATTCAAATATCAGCAGAGTGCCTCCCGGTTGAGGGCATTTTTAGACAACTACACACAGAACTTTGTTGCATCCCACATTGTAAAACTTGCAGCCACAAGTCTTTGCATCCTCTCCATCTTCCATCTTAACGTACCTGTATTGAGTGCAGGTTCCCTTCTTATGACTAGTTGCTGCTACTCAGTCCTATAAGGAAAAGAAAAAAAATGAAGCCTGACTCATCAGATGGAAAAGTTACATGTAAGCAACTATATTACCATGGACTTTTTGAAAGGTTCACAAAATGGCCAGATAGATTAGAGATCAGGATTGAGCAAACTTTAATAAACTCTATCCAATAGTTATCAATTAATACATACCTTCCAACTTTTCATCCAAGTTCAGTCCCACATCCCACTGTGACATCCTTTGGCCAGGAAAGGAGACCAGCACAGAAGAGAAAAAGCATCTGCTTTTCATACTGCAGTATGAAGCACCTGCCAGCTAAATAAAGAAGCTGAGTGCAAGCAGATGGGTTTAGGGAGAGGAAGGGCACTTAGGTGAGTCACCTAAGTACTACTGAGATAAAACCCATTGTCTAAAGTAGTAGAGATAGAGAAAAAAAACATCAAAGTTCTAAAATATAATTTACTAAACACACTAGCCTAGCGCGTTTGATTCATCTAGCCAGTTTCTTCACCCTTTCCTTGTTTTGCTTTTCTGCATTTTTAGTCTTACTACCCATGCTGTTGTTACCATCACAACCACCATCTGATCTTTTCCTCTTCCCTTCAGGTATCTATCCTCTCTCATCTTCAATCTCTCTCTCCCCAGTGGGTTCATACTCATTCTTAGATTTCTCCTTTACTGAAAATTTCATCTTGAATCTCAGTCTCATATGTCTTACCTTTCATCTTCTCCAAATGTTTCAAGGGGAAGTAATATGTTGTCAGCTGGTATTATCTTCTGTTGACTCCTTATCCACTGCATGTCATCTGTCTTCTGATTTCCCATTCTACTTACCTTTTTTTCCAAATGGTCACAAGACTGATATAAAAAAGCCTCAAATATATATAGAGCATACTGTAAACCTATGTGAAGATTAAATAAATACTTAAATATAAGTATTATAGATAATGGCCTCCCAGTCAAAATTCCAAGCTTTTAAGAATTAGTGAAAAAATGAAAGGACTAAAAATAGTAGAAAGTATTCCAGAAAAACAGTGAGTAGGTACTAGGACTTCCAGATATTAGAATGCATCCTAGTATTAGTGCAAAACAAATATAGAACAGTAAGACAGAATAAGGATGTAAGAAAAACCCCAATTGTTGAATAATTTAGCGTCTAATAATTATAAAATGTCAAATTTTAAGTGATAGTTATTGAAAAGTAGTGAGAAAGTATCATATCACAAAGCAAAAATTAGACTAAAATAGGTATCTATAAGAATTTAAATGAGAACATTTAAAAATATAAGACCTATAGATTAAATTGTGTGAAAATAGTTTTATCTGTGTGTTCTATATTATTTAGCCCAATGATGTATTTATAATCTTAATTATACTTAATGTCTTAATTTTTATTAACCATTCCTTTCTTACTCTTCTCTCCTTTTTTTCCCCACTGCTTTGATTTTGGATGCTTTTTCTTAGTATTCCTTGAAATTGAATGAAAATTTGTAAGTGTGTAGATGTTAAGAACAAGTTAAGAACATCCGTAAGGTATAGGAATCATGTCATGAGTGCCTGGACTTGATAGCAATGAAAAGCAACAGACTTTCTTGAGACATATTGAATAGCTTATATCAAGGGGGTATACTAAATATTCTCCTGGGCTAAAAGAATAATCGATATAATGTTGTCAAAGATAGCTACAAATTTTATAGGTTTTGAAAGGAAGAATGATAGAAATGTTTTCAAAATTGGGAAATCTGTGAACAAAGATGCAGCTTTGTTCACCAGAATTGGAAGTGATTTTTCTGGTATCAAAACCATCTTGACTCTCTTTCCTTCTCTTAGGGTGTATTTCCCATTTTTCGACGCTGCAACAGCCTCTTTAAAGTGTTTAAATGAGAATGTCCTTGGCTCAGAGAGTACTGCTCACCTGGCTTTTCACATTACTCTTCTTGATCATGTTGGTGTTGAAACTGGATGAGAAGGCACCTTGGAACTGGTTCCTTATATTTATTCCAGTCTGGATATTTGATACTATTCTTCTGGTTATGCTGATTGTGAAAATGGCTGGGCGATGTAAGTCTGGCTTTGACCCTCGACATGGATCACACAGTATTAAAAAAAAAACCTGGTACCTCATTGCAATGTTACTTAAATTAGCCTTCTGCCTTGCACTCTGTGCTAAACTGGAACAGTTTACTACCATGAATCTGTCCTATGTCTTCATTCCTTTGTGGACCCTACTGGCTGGGGCTTTAATAGAGCTTGGCTATAACGTCTTTTTTGTGAGAGACTGACTTCTAAGGACATCGTCTTATTGCTGTTCAACAAGCTGTCATTAAAGCGTTCTGAATCTTTGCAAGCTTGAAGAATACCGAGGAAAATACCAAATGTAGTTTTATACTGCTTCCATAAAGTAGTCTTGGTAAATCATGGACTTCCAGCCAATCCAAAGCTTCATTATTCAATATTTGAGTTGTTAATATCTTTATTTCTATTTAAATAAAGTTTGTTTTGGACCTTGTATTTCCACTTGACTTTTAAATCTGTTGTAGGGATGGATCAATATTCAAAGTAAATATAAGCCGCCTAACCTAGGTATATATTTGGGGAGAAGTTTAATATATCATAGCCCCATTACAACCAATGTAAAGGTCATTTGTGCCTCTAAAAATTGAAGGGGAAAAAATTAGTTACTAGAAGGTGCTACTTCATGTTTCCATTAGAAAGAATCTGAGAGTTTGACAGATTTTTGTCTAGGCAAAGTACTTTGTTACCTCTACCTTTTGTTTAGGACAGAAGCAGAAACTTGCCAGACAGGAGGATTTTGTAGTTCAGTAAAAACTATACATGCATGTATTATCAAAATGTAATCTCTTACAGGGAAAAGGAAAAGAAGGGATAGCCCACATGCAAACAGTTGGCCCAGGAGTCAGCAAAATTTTTCTGTAAAGGGTTATATATTAAATACTTTAAGCTGTCCGTTGCAATTACTCAATTCAGGTTTTATGTCAAGAAAGCAGCCATAGACCATGGCTACAAATTTCATATAATTTCCACATTTGACAAAATATTCTTTTCATTTTTTGTTTCAACCATTTAAAACTCACAGTCCATACCAAAAAAAAAAAAAAAAAAAAATGACCTGTGGGCATTATTTGCTGACCTCTGAACCAGGTCATAAAACAAAAGTAGAAGATCTATATAAGATAGCTGAAAGGAAAGGAAGAAGAGATCTCTGAGGAAATTGGGTAAGAATTGTATGTAAAAGCAACATCATAAGTGTATTCTTACTTAATTTGGTATACTGCCACACTAAACAACTTAACGCAGCATAATAAGTTATCAATGTGTGCCGCTCCAGTTCTGACACCAATTCAGGTATGTGGTTTCCCACCACCACCAAAGAACTAATTCTGACACTACCTGGAGATGGCATCACATTTACAGATTAAGGGTTCAGTCCCAGAAGACTAATCCTCAAACTTCAGAGGCCAACCCTGGCCCACGTGGCTCAGTTGGGTTGGAGCGTTCTGTCATACACCAAAAGTTTGGATTCCCAGTCAGCACACATACCCAGGTTGTGGGTTCAATCCTGACAGGATGCATGCAGGAGGCAATGTTTCAAGTCTCATTGATGTTTCTCTCCCTCTCCCCTCCTTTCTAGAATCAATAAAACAAAACCAAAAATAACCAGAAGCCAATCCAACATCCAGGTTGTGCTTCTGACTGGCTATACTAGTAATTGGAGGTGTCCATGACCCCTTCTTCAAGTTAAATTAGATCACAGAACTAAGAGAAACATTTTACTCACTAGATTACCAGTTTATTATAAAAGGTCATAGCTCAGGAGCAGCTACATGGAAGAGATGCATGGGGCAAAGTATAGGGAAGGGGCACAGCTTGCCTGCTCTCTAGGTGATCACTCTTCCTCTGTTTAACTTGGAAGCTCCCTAAATCTGGTCCTTTGGGGATTTTATGGCGGCTTGATAACAGTCATTAGTTACATCATTGGTTATTGAGCCCAATCTCCAAACCCTCTACCCTGGGGAGGAGAAGGGATTACTGAAAAGTTACAATCCTTTAATTACAGGGTTGGTTCCTCTGGCAACCAGCCCAGATTCTTAGGTTACCTAAGAGTTTTCCAAGTCACCTCATTTACTCAAAAGACATTTTTATCACACTTATCACAAGGAAATTCCAGTGCATTAAATTCCTGTTCCAGATATATATTTTTAATGTTTTTTAAATTAATTTTTTAGAGAGAGAGGGAGAGGGATAAAAGCGTTTATGAGAAACATCATCGATTGGATGCATCTTGCAAGCCCCTACTGGGGATTCAGCCCTGACCAGGAATTGAACCTTGATGTCTTGGTTTCTGGGTCAACACTCAGCCACTGAGCCACACCAACTGGACCAGCTAATTTTCTTATTAGAAATCACAAGTTCACAGCCTTAGTAATTAAGTACTGAAAGACATAAAAGATAGATATTGCCCAGTCGGTGTTGCTCAGTGGTTGAGTATCACTTTCTAGGCCTTATGGCTTCTGTTGAAGACAGAGAAACAAGAACTTTTAGACAACGAGATGAAAATAAAAATCAAATGTAAAAAAATAATTACAAAAGCAAAGGTAAAAAGATTATGGTTATCAATTTTAATATTTATTGAAAGGTAGAAGACAAGGAAAATCCTCTCAAACTCCAAAAATTAACCTTGCGCCTTTGCTAAATGTAAAATGAATTTTGAGTTACTCGCATTATATGACAATTAACTTGTAAAAAAAAAAAAAAAAAAAAAAAAAAAAAAACTGAATGCAATTTACCAAACTAGTGCTAACCTATTATTTACAAAAATGATCTCACCTGCCATGTGTGTTTGAGGGGGAAAAAACTGTTACACTTGGGAATACTAATGAAATACTTTGAAGATTTAACCCAAGAAATAAAATATTTCCTACCTTCCAAGATCCACCACCCAAAGTTATAGAGTGAACTAAAAATGAATATATGTGGAAGCAAACATAAGTATTTCCAATAATCTTACACACATGCACACACATACATAGAATGTGCTAGATTAACCTAATCTTTATTGAAGGTCAACAGCCCTAGTGAAAGAAAGATCATGAATATGGCTTTTGTAAAGTTTTCAATTATCACAAATGCTTAATTCTTTCGCTAGCTAACCAGCTAACCTGAGTATGGAATATGTATTACTTAGTTAAAAGGGTGTAAACAAAAGTGATTTTTTTAAAAAAAACACTGTCATAGATACCACTGAGGTACTTTGGCTTTTTTCTGACAGTCTATGTATCAATTTAATAATTTACATAACTGTTTATTCTATATAAGATCATATAGAAGATGTATCTTAAATGTGTTATTGTTCTGGTCCAAGAAATTTGAAGTTACAGCAAAAAAACGTGTTTTCAGATAAAGAATTGGAATGTACTAACTAGGAAACCATCGATATACTGCAATATTGAAATAGAAATTGTTGTAACAAAAGTAGTCAAAAAATTCTCAGATTAAATCTGAAGAGGATTTTAAAATCATAAACCATAGGACAAGGAACTTTAAGCATTATTCAATGTAACAAGGCTATATTGTGAAATCTGAATTTGAAACTGATTTATATTTCACGTCCACAGAGATGTAGGTATTTTACAAAACGTTTTCAAAAGATGGAGAAGTTTGACTTTAGGCTGTATAGGAAACAAAAGGAAACCACTGTTTTGTTATATATATCTTTAAATTAAAAGTTTCATTAAGGCCCAGCCAGTGTAGGTCAGTGGTTGAGCGTTGACTTATGAACTAGGAGGTCTGTCTGACTCTTGGGCAGGGTACATGCCCGAGTTGCTGGCTAGATCCCCAGTAGGAGGTATATAGGAGTCAGCCAATCAGTAATTCTCTATCATCACTGATATCTATCTCCCTAACCCTTCCTCTCTGAAATCAAATGTATATTTTAAAAAAATAAATATTTAATTAAGGCTCATATATTTTGAGGGATACCCAAGATATTTCATTACAGTATAATCTTATATATCTATGTGTATGCTTCTGGAAAATTGGAATTTAAAATCCTGTTAAATATATTACCCTTCAATTAAAACCAGAAAAATAACCCTATTTCTCAATACTGGTTTGTTATGAACTTTTGTCTTCCAAAATGGTGGGTGCAAATACATAAATTTAGCTTGAAGAGAAGAATAAAGTGAGGGGTAGGATAAGACAGAAAGATATATAAGTCCTTATTTACATTATCATGATTTATACCTTCCTTATTCCATGAAAATTCCTATGTTGTAAATATATTGATTTCCCACAAACCATTGAGTTTTCCAACAATATTTGCCTACTCTTTTCAACTAGGGGCCAGAAATGATATAATTGCTATGTTTATATTTTTCTGATGAAATCCCTCTTTCTAAATGGCTTCTTTCTAACCAGAAAAATAAACAGTTTTATGGGTATCACAAATGAGGCTGGGGCAAAAAGCACTAAAATGAGAATAGCAACTCTAGCCCAAATGGCAGCACGAAGAACCCCAGTTGAAACTCATCAACCAAAGTATAAGCCCAGGAAAATAACAAAGACAAATAAAATAGATTTGTAATAAGCAGAGTTGCTGAAATCCATCACAGTAGACAATTGCTTTAATAATCTTTAGCTAGGCACTGGCAATCCTGTTTCCTACCACAATTTTACTTTTTAGAACTTCTTTTGAAAAAGAAATGCAGTTGACCCTTGAACAAAAGTTTGAACTGCATGGATCCACTTACACACAGAATTTTGTCAATTGACCTGTGCAATTCAAAACTACGTTATTCAAGGGTCAACTGTACTCTAAGTTATTTACCTTGATAAGGTAGGCAGAGGGATCCTTAGAAAGAAGAGAGAACAGATTTTGTTAGTTACATCTCTGTATGAGTCGTGTCCTTATTTTAAGATTTTATATTTGCCATATTTTCTACCTGCTTTGCAAGAAAAATGTAAAAGGATTTCAACTGCCACAATTAAACTTTCTGTAAATATTTTTTACTCAACTATTGTTAGTTATAGCAAAGGCGCCTATTAATAAGAAAATCATCTCAACGCATCATTCCATATACTACAAATAAAATTTATGTTAGGGTTATGTAATCTGGCCACAAAACTTCATTAATTAGAAGGGTTAGATATCACTAACAGACTTGTTTTGCCTAACTTTACAAAATTACTTCTGTTACCTAAACTGCTTTCTTAATGTTGAATATAAATATTTTAAAATGAATTCCTGGGAGTAGGGCTACAAAGTTTCACATATTCATCTTATTCAGCAATTTAAGAAGTTATTAAAATGATATATATATATATATATATTCCCATACATACACACACATATAAATATGCTTTCATAACTGAATCTTGGTTTAAAAAATGCTTATACAATGTGGGGATTTAAATATTCACTAGATTTGAATATGTACATTTGTACTCCTTTACCATTCTAAATGGATACACCAACAGACACATGATTAAATAAATGATTTAACTGAATTATCAGTTTGTCTTTTGCACACCCGACAGAAAACATATTTATTATGAACCTTTATTAAGTGGCTCACATTTCAATATAAATCACACTAAAAAAATTCTTAAAGCTATTTACACTACAGTGCTGACACATTTAAAATGAAAAAAAAAAATTGATATAAATAAGCTCTATGGAAAAGCCTTAAATTGTTGAAAAAGAATTCTGGCTCATATTACAAAATATATATATTTATATATGTTAATGTCAGCTCTATTCTAAAATCTACAGCTCCAACACAAATGACGTTTTAAGGACTCCATTTGTTTAAACCTGCAATGTTTACAGTGCATCTGGCCCTAAGTGCTTGGATACTTCACAGTTATGGACAGGCACTGAGGAATGTTACAAAGCTACATAAACTATATTTTGTAACAGACTTGAGAGCAAGTCCTTGGCTTGCTTTCATAATTCATGAATCTTTATTACATTATTAAGTTGTTTTTAAAAAAGGTTTTAAATGGTATGTACATTTTTAGCACAAAATGTCATCATCTTTTCTATTTTGATGTGAATGTACTGAACTATGTTGCCTTGTATGAACTAGACTTAAGAGATTTTCAGGGCACAATTCCTCCTTTAAATCTTTGTTGCTATTTTCAAATTTGGAGTCCACTTCAATCTTAAATTCTGTAAATTGAACATGATCCAATTTTGCTTTAACATTCTTGCCATCCATATTATTCGGTGTTCTAGTTTCTTCAGAAACATAAACATTCACAGATTTTTCATTGATTCTTACAGATGCAACAGGTTCATGTTTAATCTGCTGTGCTTCATATTTAGAATGAAGTGTGTCTGAAAAAATAGAATCCAAAGAGGTTTTGCTTACAGCACAAATCCTATTATCACTGTGAGGTCCAAGAACTGATGATGTAGAACCTGGTGATGTGCCCGTTTCATGAGTATCTGTATTGTGAGCAGTGTCCGCCTCTGAGTGATATAACTTGAGCCGAACGTGCCAGGCTAAACTACATACAGCTGAAACTGTCTTGAACTGATGAACAACATTCCTTGGAATAAAATAAATGTCATTATCATACAGCTGAATCCTGGCATATCGAATGCCTTCTCTCCTCAGTTGATTAAGTTTTGCATCATCAACCCACTGGACACACTAAAAAAAGAAACAAGGAATAGCAATAAGTCTTTTTTCACAATAAAAATTCAGCTGAAGACAATAATGGTTTAAAATATACCTGGGATAATGGAGGTTCATGTAAATCTAGCTGCATTCGTTGAACTACTTCTAAGAAATCTTCAGCATGAAAACAAATGACATCTTTGGTTATTCTGGGTTGATTAAGCCTAAAAAAGAATATGAAATAAGGGAAAATGTGCCATTAATGTTTCATTCTGTTAAGACCTTATTAAATTCAAATTAAAAATAGTTTTCACAGTCAAAACCAAATTACTGCTTTAGAAATAAAGTTAAATTATAATTAGCAGACCACTTTACATATTTAAACAAAGGGATAATACCATGGGTTTCAACCTAAAATAGGTAAAACAAAACAAAACACTCACCTCATTTTATTATAGTTATGTGTAACCACAGTTTGAAAAGTTAAAACGATCTGAACTGGTTAATTATGTAAATAAAAACTAAGTATTTTGTCTTAAAGTTAAGGTTAATATTTCAACCTTAGAAATATTAATAATTATTCAAATTGAGAGATCTGAAAATAATATATAAAAGTTAGAGTTAATTATATTTGGATTCTATTTTTTCAAACACACTTCATTCTAAATATGAAGTACATTATTATTTCAACCTTAGTAATATATTCAAATTGAGAGAGCTGAAAATAATATATAAAAATTAGAGTTAAATATGGGGGAAGAGAATATTTTCTTTCAATAAAAACATACATAACTACAATGATACTTAAAACCCCTAAATGACTCTTAATAAAAATAATAAGCTGTTACCACTCTATTTTCTTTTAATATCTATCCATCTATCTACCTACCTATCATTCATTTCACCTGAGGATATTTTTCCATTGATATTTACAGAGAGTGGAAGGGAGAGACAGAGAGAGCAACATCAATGTGAGAGAGACACATCGTTTGGTTGCTTCTGCACGCACCCCAATCAGTACTGGGGATCGAGCCTGCAACCAAGATATGTGCCCTTGACTAGAATGGGGCCCTTCAGTCCGAGGGTGACACTCTATCCACTGAGCCAAACCGATTAGGGCTATCTGCTTGTCTTTTAACCCCAGAAAAATGCCCAAATTCTTTAACTAATTGGGATTGTACAAATACATCTTCACAAAAAAAAAAAAAAAAAAAATACTGGGGGGAAATTTTTTTTTTTTATGAAATTACATGCAACAAAAAAATTATACCAAGCAAATTACAATTTAAAAAAAAATGGTGATAAAGAGAAAATATAAAACTCATGCATCACAATATATTAAGAAAGAAGGATGAGGATGATTGCAGACTTCTCATCAAAGACAATGCACACCAGAAGACAGCAGACTATCTTAAATATTCAAAGAAAAAGTCAATCTAGCCGGGACTGGTTTGGCTCAGTGGATGGAGCGTCGGCCTGCGGACTGAAAGGTCCCGGGTTCGATTCCGGTCAAAGGCATGTACCTTGGTTGCGGGCACATCCCCAGTGGCAAGAGGCAGCTGATCGGTGATTCTCTCACATCGATGTTTCTAGCTCTCTATCCCTCTGTCTTCCTCTCTGTGAAAAATCAATAAAATATATATATTTTTTAAAAAGTCAATCTAGAATTCTATAGCTATCAACAATATCTTTCAAAATGTGAAATAAAAACATTTTAAGACAAACAAAAGCTGAAAGAATCTGTCACCAGAAGATCAGCTCAACAGAAAATGTTAAAGGAATTTTTTTCAGACTGAAGGAAAACGATACTTAGATGAAAATATAAATCTAGTCAAAGGAATGTAGAGCACAAGTAATAGTAAATATGAAAGGTATTTTATTCTCATTTTTAAAATCTCTTTGGGAATGTTTCCTTATAGCTAAAGTAGTATATTGGGGGTTTATAGCATATGTAAAGTACAAACGTATGACAATAATTAGCAAATGTCCAGAAACTGGGGGAGGGGGATTAATAAGTGGCAGTATGCTATTGAAAGGTTCTTAACGCATTACATAAAGAGGTATATATTTGAAGCTAGATTCTGGTAATTTAGAGCAACCAATTATAAGCAAATAGTGAAGGTATAAGGAATGCTAAAAAATATAAGAAGGGGGAAAGGATAAAAAATAAGAAGCAAATGAGAAAAAGACATGTCTTCTTGAGAAAAAGAGCAGAATTCAAAATACTAAGGGGGAAAAAGTTAATACCAACTTCCTTAGTACAGTTTAATTCAACACCAAGGAATCATAAAGGGATCATAAGCCATGTTTGCATCATAGCAAAGAAGCCCTCTTATAATACCAACAAAGTTATTTTCTTGCAATCTTTAATATAGGAAGCAAACTGTATTTTACAATAGTGGGAAAATTCAAAGCTATCAATATCTCATTCCAAAATCTGTCTCAAGCATATTCTCAAATCTGGCCAACTAACTTAGTATAGTAGTTTGGCAATAGTCTTCATACTATGAAACTGCTAGTCATAAAAGTGTTTTTTTATTCAATAGATAGTTATTGGGAACTATGATGGGCCCATGAAGGATAGTACACAATCCCTAACCTCAAATCAAATACATAGTGGAGGAGAGAGTATATACCAACAATAACTTTTAACGAAGTATTAAGGCCATGAAGCAGGAATATTTATCTTTGAAAGAAAGTGTAAATATGGCCGAAACCAGTTTGGCTCAGTGGATGGAGCGTCGGTCTACGGACTGAAGGGTCCCGGGTTCGAGTCTGGTCAGGGGCATGTACATTGGTTGTGGGCACATCCCCAATAGGGGTGTGTGCAGGAGGCAGCTGATCGATGTTTCTCATCGGCGTTTCTAGCTCTTTATCCCTCTCCCTTCCTCTCTGTAAAAAAAATAAATAAAATAATATTTTTTAAAAAGTGTAAATATGTAGCTAACTTTACTGAACACTCTAGATTTTACTTTAAATAATTCTTAATGCCATTCTTAAATCCTTTTTACCAAACATTCAAGAGAAATTTCATTAATTTGAAATAGGCGTTTATAAGGTTTTCCAGATTACATGAAGAGCATAGAAGCTATAAGGAAATAATCACAAATACTTGAAAATTAACATTTAAATTAAACACAATTCAATTATTATTGGATTATTAACTATTAATACTGTTTTCTTAAGGATCTCGTAGGGTTAGTTCAGTACTAGCTACTTTGTTGAGAAAATATCATATTCCAATTTAGATTTCATACCTACCGTGCTTCCCCGAAAATAATACATCCTCCGAAAATAAGACCTAGCGCATGGAAAGATAAGACATCCCCTGAAGATAAGACCTAGCACAACTTTGGGGAAAAAAATTAATATAAGACACTGTCTTATTTTCGGGGAAGCAGGGTAAACAGAACTGTTTGAAAACAAAAACTTAAGAGAGCAAATGTATCTTACAATATCAATATAGCTTTGCTTTATGTGTTTTTTTTAAATCAGTAAATGGAAATTTTCTTAATTATGGAATGATACCTTAAGTATATTAGAGACATCCATTTTTAAAAAAATAATCTATAGAAAGGTTCAAAGTGAAAGTTGTAAAAATTATTACTATTCTAAACCTTAGCAGGGAGCAGTAAGGTAGAATAGTATAAAGAGAAAACATAAGAGTCTGGAGTCAAGCCGAAACAGGTTTGGCTCAGTGGATAGAGCGTCGGCTTGCGGACTCAAGGGTCCCAGGTTCAATTCCGGTCAAGGGCATGTACTTTGGTTGCGGACACATCCCCAGTAGTGGGTGTGCAAGAGGCAGCTGATCAGTGTTTCTAACTCTCTGTCCCTCTCTCTTCCTCTCTATAAAAAAACAATAAAAAATAAATAAAAAAAGAGTGTGGAGTCAGATCTGAAATCAGTCTCAGATCTACCATTTATTAACTATATAACTATGATAATTTTATTTGACGGCCCTCAGCCTCAGTTTCCTTGTATGATCAATATAAGCCTAAAAGTAGCTGATAAAAATCAAATGAACATTTGTAAATCGGCATATAGTAAGCACTAAGTGAATCTTAGTTTTAACTGTTTTCACCTATAGTTACTTGGGAAAAAATTACTTCAGTTAAACCCAAAAGACTAAATAAAACTAGGTTCTAGTCATTGAAAATCTGTTTCAGTGCAGTTACAATATCCAACTATAGGGAAAATAAAATTTCCCCCCCACAGAAAGGAGAATGATCAAGAAACTTCCCAAGAAAACATTTCATTAAAATAGCAGTAGTTAATATATACCACTCTCCACAGTGCACAGCCTTCAACACTCCAACTGCAGCTGTAGTCTTTCGTTCAAAACCTTGTCCTATATGATCTGCATGAGCTCTTGTCCTGTCTTCAAAGAGCATCTCCCGGGGCTCACTAGTTCGAGGTAGGTACTGCAGGTTTTTTATTTCATTGGTAGTTCTGTTTAAAAAAAAAAAAAAAAATTACACTTATATTTTATATAGACGGGGGTAGGCTTATGTGTTAAGGATTAATTGCCCTCAAATATTTGTATTGATGTATCCTGTTTCCCCGAAAATAAGACAGTGTCTTATATTAATTTTTTCTCCCAAAGTTGTGCTAGGTCTTATTTTCAGAGGATGTCTTATTTTCAGGGAAACACGGTACTAAGGCTTAACTGCCAACAAGAATTGAGTAATAACATAATTCAGTGAAACTTCATCTGCTCCAAAATCAAGTTTTATTTTTCAAATGAATACTTACAAATAAGAACACAAATATAATCCACTCTTTTTCTTAACACACCCTTCATAAGTGAAAGTTCTTTTTATTTGTTTTTATTCCTCACCTCAGGATATGTTTTTATTGATTTTGAGAGAGAGGGAGGAACGGAGAGGAAAGCAAAAGAGAGGAAAACAGTGATGTGAAAGAGAAACATCAATCAGGCTCCTGAGATCAAACCAGCAACCTAGGTATGTGCCTTGACTGCAATTGAACTCACAACCTTTTGGTGTACCAGACAATGCTCCAACCAATTGGACCCTTCAGCCAGAGCCATAAGTGGAAGTTTCAAGGCAACATAAGCTTAGATAAGACACTAAATTACAGATGGTGTGGTTTATCCAGGTTTCCCTGTATGCTGAATCTTTACCTGAAGTTTGGGTCTAACCTGAGGAAGCATGCCCCCAAACAGGGCATGTGGCTAACATAATGTATATATTTGGAACAAGGAGGTAACTTTAAAAAATGCATTAATATTTGTAGAATACCTATGATATGTCAGGTATTACCTAGGCACTGAAGCTAGTGAACAAGACAACAGTGAATAAAATAAGTTCCCTACTCTGGTACAAGTTCATATCCTAGTGAAAGGAAAACAAATAAGTATCAAGAAAACAACAAGCATATAAGTGGCTTCCACAAAACACACATGGCTTATTAGCTCCTTCTTACATTGGCCCTCTTCTCTACTGCTCACACTTAGAATCTGCATGCACACAAGCGGCTGACTACTTGGCCTCACTCACTGTAAAAGCCCTCTCAAATTTTGCAGTAGAAGAGGAAAAGGCTGAGAAGAATTTCTTTGATTGGGAATCATTGTCTTACTTATCTTTCTGTCGGGTTTGTTACTTCCAAAAACAAATACAGATTGTCCCATAATTTTTTCCTCTCATCCTAGCCTATCCGGGTCTCTTCCTCATTAGTTCCCTAATTTACCATCAATCTCTACTACTTAATAACTGCTCTTTGTGCAATCCTGCATTACAGTCTTTTTACATACTTACATAAACATACTGATGACTCTATAATATATTTTTGCTCTTTGCAATTAATGTTCTACAGGTATCAGAAAGCTACATGATAATGTTGCTTACTGTGGAAAGTTAACAGGCTTGGGGGTAGGCTTATATGTTAAGGATTAGTTGCTCTCAAACACTGCATTGATATACTAAGGCTTAACTGCCAACAAGCATTGAGTAATCACATAATTCAGAAAAAGAAAATTTTAAGTCATCTGTTCCAAAATTTCTCACTACTATTGCCATTATATGCTTTTATATTGCTAAAAAAAAAAGGTCTCTTCTAGGCTTCAAACTTTTATTCTATTATTTTTATTTTTTACCTTGTTTAAATATCAAACTTCTTTATGAAGTAAGAGCTATGGCTTCTCCTTTTACATGGACTGCCAATTATGTCATCATTATGCATGAATAAATCTTCCCTTTCCCAATATACTTTTACCTATTTGTGTACTCTATCCTATTCTAATGATCTTTTTGAGCTTTATAGTAATTTTTATTATATAACACCACAAGGACCCCTCACTTATCTTCTCTTTCTCAACTGTCTTGGCTATTTGCTGGCTTTATTTATTCTTCTTTATAAAGTTTAAAATAATTTATCCAATTCTAGAAATATTAGTCCAATTGAAATGCTAAGTTTCAAAGAAATATTATGTTTATCCAATCCAAAATACAGTACTGTTTTCCATTTGTTTAGATCTTATTTTATATCCTCTACAAGATGTTTTAGTTTTCTTAATATGGGTTCTAAATATTTATTAAATTTATTCCAAATAGTTTATAATGCCTCTAATGTAAATGATATTTTTCCCATTTCTAATTACAATTTATTGTCATCTGCCTTCATTTCTCAAGTCTTATTTATATTTCGTACATTTTTAAAAATTATATCAGCATATGCAGCCATTTTTAAATTTACATTCCAGTTATGCCCTAAACCCTCCCCTCCTTCTTCCTCCAATTTTCAACACATACACACACCCAAACATACAAATACCCATCCCCAACAATACAAATTTGTATATCCAACATACCTTTTCCTTTTGAAAGGTGACTTTGGCATATCAGCCACAGGGATCATTTGTTCTCCTGGGCGTACCCACATGATAGGACCATCATCACTATCTTTTCGACTCTCTAATTTTAGACTAGATAGTGTCCCCCATGGCAGTGTACACTAGAGGCAAATAATTATATAAAAATGAATTATTTTCAAAATATATCTTTAACTATGCATTAAAGAATATTGCCCTCTTGAAAACTTTCATGTATACTTTTATACTTATGCCCTTGAAAGATATACCTATACTGAATATATTCCTACATATGCACAATTTTCCATCAAAAATTCTATTCCAAACAAACAAAGAGAATTATTATTTTGGAGTGATTTCCTCCCCCAACTCTGTCACGGACATGATTCACTATATTCCTCATTTGTTATTCTTTCTTCTACCATATATATGCTAATAAATTGCCAAAATAAGCAAATATTCTCCATGAGAACCTACAAAAATAAACAGATACCTCTTTGATTAGTTATAATCAAAACCTAGTACAAAGAGAAAAACCAAAATTTATTTGTTTATAGTTGCTTGAAAAGATTATTGGATTGAAAAGCAGAGAAGAAAATCTTTGGGGAAAAAAAGAGAAAAATGACAGAGTCCATGAAATGATGACAATGGCATTAAAAAAAACACACAAAAAAACAACATTCATCCCATACCCCTTTTCAAAAAGGGGAGAATTGTCAAATTAAATTTCTCCAGAAGGAATGCATTTGGCTCATTTGTTTTTAATTTAAAATCTCAAAAAAATATTTAAGTAACAGTATTTTAAAAATACCATTGAAAACAAATGCAACCAAATTCCATGATATCACTAATTGGGATAAATAAAAAAGAAATAAAGTTCAATAGAATAAAAAAGAAAATGAAAGGGAAATAAAAAGTACATATAAAATGTATATATAAATACACACACACATTTATATACACACACACAACTAGAAAATTGAGCAAGCAGAAGTAAAAAAGAAGAGATGTTCAACAGATTAAGTGCCAGTAGTAGTGATAAACTGATTTAAAAAAAAAATCTTTAGTTAAAGTATTACATTTGTCCCTTTCCTCCCATTGACCCCTTCTAGCCCATTCCTGTCCCCATCCCTGCACCACCCTATTGTCTGTGATAAACTAATCTTGTCACATTTTAACCTTTGAGTTACTACTATTTAAATAATCTATCTCAGATATTTCTCTAGCTAGAAATCATTTAAAGACTTTAAAGGGACCTTAAGCTATTTATTTATTTATTTATTTATTTATTTATTCATTTATTTATTTTAATATGTCTTTCTTAATTTCAGAGAGGAAGGGAGAAGGAAAGAGAGAAACATCAATGATGAGAATCATTGATCAGCTGCCTCCTGGACATCCCCCACTGGGGATCAAGTCTGTAATGCAGGCATGTGCCCTTGACCAAATCGAACCTGGAACCCTTCAGTCCACAGGCTGATGCTCTGTCCACTGAATCAAACCAGTTAGGGCTAAGCTATGTATTTTAAATGCCTATTTTATGGATGAGGAAAATGAAGCACAAAAATGGCCTGCCTAATCCAGCTAGGTATAGCCAAAAATGAAATGCAGCCCGGCTCAGTGGTTGAGCATTGACCCATGAACCAGAGGTCACCAGTTCGATTTCTGGTCAGGGCACATGCCCCAGTTGTGGACTTGGTCTCCAGTAAGGGGTGTGCAGGAGGCAGCCAATCAGTGATTCCTTCTCATCACTGATGTTTCTCTCACTCTCTCCCCTTTCCTCTCTAAAATCAATAAAAGCGTATTAAAAAAAAAAGGGGGGGGGGTGGTGGGGGCAGAAGAAGAAAAATGAAAGGCACATGTACAATATCCCAGGCCAGTTTTCCACAATGCCAAATGGCCATTCCCTTTTCCTAAGCACTTATACATCCTTCCTGTACTTCTGAAATCCCCTAATATTCAGTCTATAGCTAAGAAACAGATGAAACCTAATTTCCTAAAGTGGCAGTAACAGGCAAGTGTTATTTTCTGGTCCACGACTTAGCTTTGCCATAATAATTAGTACCAGAGAAGTCATAAACATACACTACACTAGAAATTAATTTCTCATCTCTTCTTTTCCTTCCCTCCAATTCAAAAAAAAAAAAAATGTTACAATTATGAAACCACCATCTGTACCAACTGTAGCGTAAAAGTATCACCCCCAATTTAGATTGCTTGGTATTATTTTTTCCTCTTACCTTTAAAAACGGTGAATCTTCCAACATATCAAGGAACTCAGGGAAATAATCTCCCACTTCTTCATCAACGGCTCCTACCAAACTGATTTGTCGCATTGGGCCAGCTCTGTAAGTACCATGAGAATACGTTCTTTTTACCTGAAGGATATTGAATTAATTAAAAGTTATACATAAGATAATATTTGCTCTCACTGTGCAACACCTAAATTATATTGTCCAAAAATATTAGAACATAATGTGAGGCAAGCAAAACAAAAAACCTTTACAAACAGTAAAAAAAATAATTAAATAAAAAACCATCTGCACTAAATCAAGCTATTTTACCTTCCCTTACTACGTCTACACATAGCTTACGAAAACAGTTGAGATAAACGGCATAATTTTAGACAACTGAGCATAACTTCTTATAATACACTAGTGGCCTTGAGCATGAAATTCGTGCATGGTCAGGGGGGAGGGGTGTCCCTTAGCCCAGCCTGCACCCTCTCCAATCTGGGACCCCTTGAGGGATGTCCGACTGCGCATTTAGGCCCGGATGTCCGGGCAGTCAGAAATCCCTCTCATAATCCAGGACTGCTGGCTCCCAACTGCTTGCCTGCCTGCCTGATTGCCCCTAACCACTTTCTGCCTGCCAGCCTGATCACCCCCTAACCACGCCCCTGACAGCCTGGTTGCCCCTAACTGTCTTATCCTGCCAACCTGATCATCCCCAACTACCCTCCCTTGCAGGTGTGGTCCCTCCCAACTGCCCTCCTCTGCTGGCCATCCTGTGTTTTGGAGTGATGGTCAATTTGCATATCACTCTTTTATAGATGAGTTCATTTACTTAACAATGCCACTGTAATTATATTAAAAAATTTATATAGCTAAATTTTTCTAAATGGTTCATATTTTTTTATCAAAATTTTCAAAAGTACATACTATGAAAACATTACATTTAACCATCACCAGTAGTTGATTTGTCTAAAAGGCCAGAGGGAATGATCTTTCCTCCTAGAACTTATCATATTAATTAGGATCCAATTTATAATTCTAACTCTGATGAAAAACTATTAGAGATTAAGAACCAGAGTCCTAGGTCCCAAATCTACCTTTGCTATCTGCCAGCAATATGACCTTCAGAAATCACTTAAATTCTCCGAGTTTTAGTTCCACTAACTGGAACTAAAGGTGCCTGCAGCGTGTTAGCCAATGGGTATTACTCAAATATCAACCAAAATAAAACAGCCTTCAGCTCAACAATCACTGGTAAATTATTTTCACAAGTAGATTTAAATCCTAAAAAGAGACCTATGCCTTTTCATATGCTAGAAATAGTAAAGAAGTCTTTTTTAAGTAAAACAAAATCTATACATAAACAAATATTAAACTAAATCCCAAGTATTTTTCTGGATTAGCCTTTGTGGCCACATATTTAGGGAGATAAAATTGTCTTCTTTTGCCTGGGTCTATCCCAGTTTTAAAAAGATAAAACAAAAACCTTACTATAATATTATTAAACTAGTAGAGGCCCGGTGCATGAAATTTGTGCATGGGTATGGTCCCTAGTCAAGGCTGATCTGTGGGGCAACTGGCGGGGTGATGGGGGAGGGGGGATGACTGGCACCCGCCTTGGCTGGCCTGGGGGGGAGTTCCTGTGTTGAGTATCTGCCCCCTAGTGATCAGTGCACATTATAGCGATCAGTTGTTCTGCCATTAAGTTGACTTGCATATTAGACTTTTATTATATAGGAAAGAGAAAGGATAGATACAATAAACAATCAAAAAACAAGAATTCATTACTAACAAATTACACCTCTACTTTAATTTCCAAGTTTACAAATGTTTAAAAATAAAATGAAACACGTCTAGTACAGACCTGTATATAAAAAATTTTATCACAAAATAAAAGAAACTTGGTCCCCCCATGTCTATTTTGGGGTTACCCAAAAAGAGGCTATATCTTTTGAAAATTTTTTAAAAAGTATGGTCCTATTAAAATTCATAAATATTTCAAATGATATTGGAAAAAAGTAAAATAACATAGACTCCATAATCTTAAATATTGTATTTGAATCTTTATAGTTAATTCTTCTCACCTCATGGATAATACATATATATTTAAAATTCACTTACATACATAATTTGCTCAATAAAAGTACAGGTCCCTTTCCTGTCTACACCAAATTGTGCTACAATTATAAAGTTCATTCTGTTTGTCCACTAGTGAAGCAACAGGTAAATTCCACTAGAAAGCAAGGTCTTGTAAAAAAAAAAAACTATTAATACTTAGCTATCATGTTTAAAACAAAATAGCAATTATCTTCTAAAACATTCAACTAATGACTCTGATAACCTAACGGAATGTCTACAGCCATCCCACCCAAAATGTGCTCAATCTCATCTGATTTTATAAGCTAAGTAGGGTCTGGCTTGGTTAAGTACTTGATAATCTAATAGAATTTATATATTTAAACTTAAAACTAAAATTTGAAAATTAAATAAAAGTCATCAAAATATTAGTTTGTGAAACTAATTTAAATATTAAAATACATTGTAATATAACTTTTAATTATATACCATTCAAAACTTTCTAGCTTAAAAACCTAATACTTCAAACATATACTAATCAATTGGAACCAATTATTTAATATTTTAAGCATGGAAAATTACATATAACAATGCATTCAAATTCAAAAAGTATATACCTCTTAATAAAATATATAAATGGCACTTAAGCTGCTAAAACAAAATACAAAAATATAATCCAGTTTTCACACAAAAAGTAAATACTTTAAGTGGCAACAATTTTACTGCAATACTATATATATAAAACAAATAACAGTTTCCCCTATTACATGGAATAAAAGTAAAACTAATGTATAATATAGGAAAATTTTTACAAAGCTCAATTCTCCAAAACTCATCCATCCAACAGTTAAAATTAAAGAGAAGTGGGGTGAGGAAGGAAACAGGTAAGGTTTGAAAGACTTTCTAAAAATATATACCAACAAAGACGATGACTCTTATAAGGGTATTCTTATTACATATGTTTCTACATTTGGCATTATTTTAACTAATCTTTAAAATAATAAAAAATACAAATTTACAAAGGGGAGGGAGGCAAGAGGCAAGCACAGTTACAGCTTCCATAGGACATCATGACAAACCCAGACAGAAGATAAAGGATTAAGCTGCATATGCTCAATAAAAAGGTTATCTTCATTAAAATCTTAGTACTTAAAATTATATGCTGTATTGTCTAGAAAAATCACTTATCTGAAAACATCACACCCTGATGACACTGGACATGAGCTTACTATATTTCTATTCACTTCAGTAAAAATTAAGCTACCCATCAGCTTTCTGATAGTTAAAAAATTAACCTCAAAATATGAAAACAACTCATTGCTTTAAAATGTATTCTGTATACTTCCTAAAAGAGAAATGTAGTTATGGAGTATACATACATGCTCCCAATTAAGGTATAGCATTCTCAAAAGATGACACAATAAAAGACAGTAATGATATTTGTATAGTACTTGCAAGCACTTAATTTAAATAGTAAGTTTATATTTAATTAGTGCTTTTTTTGAACAGATGTTTTATCTAAATCTCTCTACAGTCACTGTAACTCCCCCACCCCCCCAAAAAAAACTACCACTATTATAAAACTGCTTTTTAGCTTTTCCCCTTCTATTTTTTCCTACAAATGTAATAAAGGGAAAAGAAAAAAAGCAGAAAATAGGAGACTTCTTATACCCAGTGCCAGTGTGTCCATAAAAAAAAAAAAAATCTCAGAAGTTTTAGTTAATGGGTAATGAACTATTTAATTAAATTGTTTAAACTAAAATCTTGTTTATTATTTCTCGTATAAAAGAATCTTAAAAAACAATTTATGATTCTGAGGCTGGCTTGTTATAAAAAGGAAAAAAGAACCTTACCAAAAGGAAATATATTGCCAAATATAAATCTCTAATCTTTAATATTGCTTTCTCTTATTTAACTTATAAAAATTGCTGCCAAAAGGGAAGAAACAAATATGGTAATTCATAATTAAAAAACCATGAAGAATGACTCACTGAAACAATTTGTTTCCCTAAATGTGTTCCATATGGTATCAGTCCCTGAAAAGAGGATACTAAAGTCAAATAAGTTTGGAAAACTCTTCCTATCTAGGAAGTTCACCACACACATTGGCTACTAAAATTTCTGAGAAGTCACACTAAATAAACATAACTTATTTGGCCCAGAATTACACAAATTGTTTTTACTTTAAACACTGTTTTTTTCTTAAAGTTGTTTTAGTACACTTAGCCATACCCAAAATGTTAAAGTTACAAAGAATAATTTAATAGTGATCCACAAGTCATTCAATATTGATAACTCCCTTTCTTCCCCTATAAGTTACAGATGTTTCTAGCTCGTGTAAGCACCAAAAGTAGGATAGTTAATAGAGCCAAAAATTTAAGGGGTTGGAGGAAAAAGAGGCTGTTGGTTCAATGTCTTCTGGTTGGTTTCATAGTGTTTGGTGAGGGTGAGGTGGAGAAAGGAAGATGAGAGAGGGGAGTTTCTTACTCTAAAAAACAAGGTCAGCTCATAACATTCTTTGGAGGCAATCCAAACATCTAACATAAATGAGTTTGCCAGAAGGGGGAGCCATTCCCCATAACACCTGGCATACCTTTTCAAATAAAAATAGGTATTATATTAATAGGAACATTGAATCAACACTTTATTTTTTAAATATCCACATAACTGCAACTAAAATAACAATGAAAATGTTATTACTAATTTTAAAATTCGTACAATATAGGAAAAAGAAAAAGGCTCTCTTTTTCAATTAGATCAGCCAGTTCCTGCCATAATATTCAAAGATGGGACAGGCACAATTGGTCAAAATAAAATTTACTACAAAAGCAGGCAATGGTTCAAAGACAGCACAGCAAATCAACTTTATTTGCCTAGCACAGCATGAATTCAACAAATATTCCTTCTCTCTCCTCATTCTGTAGAGAGGCAAGGCTAACAGATCAGATCAGGACTAATTGTTTCACTATTAAAATATTAACAATTTAATCATGAATTAACACCCTGGCTTGTTATCTGGTACAAACATCTTAGAACCAGGATAAAATATAAAACATTCAAAGAGTTGG